AATGAATAACAACATGTGTTGAATATTTCACTTACTCTGGATTCAGGAAATTTTGTTGTATTCACGTTGACTGGATTGAATTTTTGCTGAAGAAAAATATTCATGGCTCTGCATTCCAGTTGTTTAGTCAGAGTTGAATGTGCAGTATAACTGGTCGCTGTTTTGATGATGAAAATTAATCTCTATAACTTTATCATTAATATTTTACCATTGCGTTAATATATTACACGAATCAACTCTATGATAATCTAACTTGCAACTATTAACAACGCTAACTGATCATTTTGCGCTGTCGCTTCGCCCTAATCCATTTCTAAAGAGTGGTAACTCAACCGGTATCCGCCGGTCTTGTGTGTATGGAGCTTTAGATGACGCATTTCCCCTTGTTCTACTCACCCACTCTAAGTTTTGTGTTTTGAGTGGTAGCAACTGTTTATTCATTTAACAGTGGAATGCGCATCTGGCCATTCGTATGACTACCTTCATCTACTATGCAGCTTGATTTGAGTGGAATGATGAAGCAACAACAGGAGCTAAAATAAATTCTGTTATTCTGATCGTTCTAATCGAAGTGATTGACATTTTTTATCCGAACAATTTAGGCACAGCCCTCTGAGAAGATTGTGGAAAAAACTAAAGATAATGTTCATTCAAATCTAAAACAACCCCCATGTTCTGGAGAAGTCTACATGACTAGGAACTTTCGATACCGTGGTTAAATATGACATTCAAAAATGATATTGAATTGAAGCGGCGATAATGCAGTGTAAAGAAAGAAAAATATATTTGTCACGTTACACTAATTCGTGTAGTCTATCACAAAACATCGGGGTTAAGTTATCAATTTGTCTCGTTGACTGATCATAGCGTTTGTACCTGAACATGCCTTCGTTAAACCCAATTAGGACACACGGCTTTGCGGTCTATACACTGTATGCGCTTTTCACTTATGCCATGGAGCCGTTGCCTGCTTACACTGCCCCCCTCCCAGGCGATTAAAGGAACGGGGGCGCTGCAATTACACAGTTGATATAAGGTGAGATACATTTTTCTTTTTACACTCCGCGTTTTCACCGTTTCAGTTCGGTACCTTCATTTTAATACGAAGATGTTCATTCGTTTTCAAAATAAATGTTTTATTTTGCTCAAAAACAAGTTATGCTTGTTCAATTAAAATTTAATGTTTTCTGAAGAAATTGCAATGATAAGTTTGTTGGTTCACTAGAGTATGAAATACTGGTTCCTCTTGCCATAAATATATTTTAAAAGCAATAAAATGAAATTAATACCGAAATAAATTGCAAGGTATATAATTAATAAACCTCGCATCGCACCAACTCAGAAGTAGGATGAAATGGCTTTTGTCGCATATCGAAGGGCAGTATTTGTAGGTAGTTAATTTTTATTTTCTTGAAGAAGCTAAGCTGCAATATCTGGTGTCATAATGTCGAGTTCAACACCACTTTTGGAATTAACGCTTTGGGCTGATTATTAGATAGATGAAGCCAAATTGCAATCGCGAGAGGCTCTCATGGTATGGCAGTACTCCTCTTCCATTCTGGTATAACTACTTGAAAATGTCATGCTGTTCCTATTATTCACTTGCAAACAGTTATGTAAACTGTTACCAGTTTTCGGTTGGTTGCATCGAAACAAAGGGTCATTAATTCCTTGCTCAAGGGAATTCGCGGTTAATATAAAAATTTTCAATTCTCTGAATTCGAATTTTCTACCTCCTGAACTCGAAACAGCTATATATATATGCTTTGTGCAAATAAATAAACCCCATCATGTAGTTCGTAGTTTAAAACATGCAAATCATATCATTTTATCGTACTGTAGTAAACTGAAGCTTTGTTGGCACAAGGCATATCTTACATTGGGAGTGAAATAGGAATATTTCATAGGTATTGTTGAATTTGAGAAGTGTAAATACGTATTTTGTAAAGCTTTATCAAAGATTAAATTGGATAATTTCTTTGGTTTAGGGCTTATCAAACTTATGTAAAATAATACGAGAATCTGTATTTTTCTGGTGATTGGAACTCTGAACAGCTATAAATAATTAATTTTGGTAGTGTTTTGGTCTTCACTTTTGTGAAATCATTAATCCGAATGTGTAGGTACGGAGCTGCTTTAAAACAGAGACTGCATGTTATTTGCGCTGTTGTTCTTTCCGAAGAATTGCGACGGAAATTAATAAAGGATTGGGAAGGCATCGGGTAACGTGAGGACATCGAAAAAAATTTTGCTAAATGGTAGATTCTTCTGGTTTGTAAAATCTATCTATGAGATAGTTATTGAATAAAGAAATCATTTTGAATGTGGAGAAAATGTTGAATCTTTATTTTTCTATTCATAGTGTGAATCAGGGGTTTGTCTCAAGATTTGTTTCATTCCTAGACCGTGGAACAATTCTGAAGGTTATAACTTAGTTTGCGAAGCTTGATGTTGCATGACAGGTTTTAGAATAGAAAGATGTAATGTCACTGAATAAGAATAGGCTATGTTCTGTAAGTCTTCCAAAATTTGCAGTTTTAGGGGAGTACAGCAGTCCAGATTTTTGGTGTTTAACAGTTACAAATACCGTCTCAGCATGATGTTGCGGGAACGTTCACTGTTGTGACGAGAGACATATTCCTCATCAAATCATGGATATTCTCTGATTCAGTGATAATCGGCTCGGATAAGATTAAGAAAAATAGTAAGATAGGATAACAGACTTTAGTGTAAAGTCAACGTGTCGAATAATTAGCACGTTGTCTATCATTTGTATTTAAGCAGTGAATTATTGTAAATTCTGAGGATATAGATGTTATTTTCTATT